TTTTTTTTTTTTTTTTTTGGTTATCAGGGATTAAACTTGGGTCCTTTCACTTGAGAGGTAGGTGGTGGAACCACTAAGCTAAATCCCTAATCCTGATTCATCTTTTTCCACATCTCTATCATTATTGTAGGTTGTATATTCATGATTCCCAAATGTTCAAAAATTTCAAACTGTTTTGTTGCTGAGTGCTGAGTACTGTCTTCCCTTGAACTGTGACATTCGTAACATTTTCTTATTGCATTTTAATGTTTGACAGAATTAGGTTACTTCCCAAGGCTGCCCACAAAGCCAATATATATTGCAGAATAATTTCTGAACTAGTTAGAGGGCTTCATTTACTGAAGCAGACAGTGTAGTATGTATTGGTTACTACTCATCCCAAGTTAATATGAAATGCAGTACAATTTTTAAAAATTTACACCAGGCAAGAGTGTGAATTCCCACACTCTTGGAGGCTGAGGCAGGAGTGCACATTTTGGCAGAGCCTGGGCAACTCAGCGAGAAACCCTGTCTCAAAACTATACTAAACAGGGCTGGAGATATAGCTCAATGGTAGAGCAGCCCTGGCTCAATCCCATTACAATAGGAAGGGGCTGGAGTAGGGGTGCTTGGGAACACAGCTAACTGCGTGGCCTTGGCCCTTTGCCCGCCTGGCAGGTTCTGGGCTTGTCAGCCTTCATTCCTTAAGATAAAACTCCTTGCACACACCCAGTCTTGCACATACCTTAGCGGTCCTATTTCTCTGAAGACTCCTCACTAATGCAGGGAAATTTATTTCAGTTTCACAAATGCTTAATCATGGTCTTTTTTAGTTGAAAAAATGAAATACTATTTCTCCTAGGTGGTCAAGAAAGATGGTATCATCTGGCACCTAAAGAAAATTATTCCATTCTTCAGCTCACCTACATTGTATTTTGTCTGCCCTCTTGTTTGTTTCACCCTTGTTTTTTTTGTTTTTTGTACCAGGGATCTCATTTTTGTTTTTAAATTAATTTTCTCTGATTTCTAGTGCATAAGTTTTGTTTTGTTTGGTACAGGGGATTGAACTCAGGACTCTGTACTTGCTAAGGCAGAGGAACCATTGAGCTAAATTCCCGGCTCTCTAGTGCCTATGTTTTTGAGCTTGAATTTAATTCATGTCCAGAGATCATTAAAAGTGTAAGACGTACATCTTAAGTTTCATTATCAAATTATCCTCCATAAAGGATCAAGCTTTAGTTTCAAAAGAAAGTAAAATTTTCACACAATTCTAACAATTTAGGGGAAGCTAACAGGTATGAGTGGTTAATATTCCATGCTATGCTTCAGTCATAAGGTCTTTCCCACTTATCTGATGTGCAATGAATACATCACTTTTCAAATGAATCACTCAAAGCACACGGTTACTCTATTTACTCAAATATACATAAAAGGCTAACACAAAATATACATAAAACACAGGGAAATTAATTATACATTTATCAAAAGTCCTCAAAGCATCTAAATGTAAAAGCAGTATAAAAACAAGCATGATTACTGTTTATTGTAAGTTAGTGTGGGTTTAGAGAACTGTAAACCACTTGGGTTTGTACCACATTATAATATAATTATACAACATATATAAAAACATGTACTTACACAAGAAATCTTAAACGGCGCAAACGTTATAGGGTCTTCCCCATACAAAGGCCAATAGCGTTCACATTTTTTCTGTTGTCAAAACAAACAAACAAACCAAAAAGCAAAAAACAGTAAATAACCTGTATAGAGTTAACTTTCACAAAACCTGTGTGGGCTGGGGATATAGCTCAGTGGTAAAGCACCTGCCTGGTAAATGCAAGGGCCTGAGTATGATCCCTGGTACCCTCCCCCACAAAAAAACAAAACAAAAAACCGTGTTTTACTGAGATGAGCAGGCAAGGAGCTGGGAGAGAGGATCCGTATCTCAGTGTTATTAAAACTACATCATTGTGGGCCAGGGATTTAGCTCAGTGGCGCTGTGGCTACCTTGCAAGCACAAGGTCCTGAGTTTGATCCCCGAAAAACAAAGATAATTCTCAATGCTACGACATCTCATCCTCACCAAGGTCAGTCATGAAAATTAATTGTGTAAACTGTTTGCTGCTACCTGCTTTGTCTACAGAGTAGATCAAATTCTCCCTCTAGAAATAAAAAAATTGCTTTAGAAAGTATCTGGCACATGAAGGTTCATTTAGGGGAGAGGGGGCCCTGACAAGTTTTAATGTTGTAATGTGACAATCTCTAGGGCCCTGGATAAATTCCCATGAAATGTAAATTCTGGGATACAGTGGAAAAAGAATATTTTACTCAATATTGGAAGACTTCTCCAAGCACAAGTTTTTTCTAAAATATTTTCTAGCTTTCTGAAATATACAGTACATGACTGTTATCTAGTCACCCTACTGCACAGGTACACAACAGAAATTCTCCCTCCTATAGTTCATGAATTTCAAACTAAATTCTCATAGTTCCAAAAACAGTAAATGGAATTATGACATATAACCTGAAAGAATGGTAAGCTGATTATACTGTCTATAAGACAATGAACTAAACGCTAACAATGTAGACACTTAAGACCACAGCTCATTTCCCCAACTTCATTTCTCAGTAAAAAAAATAATACAATTACATTTAGAGGATTGTTTTATCTTTTATTTTTATATTTTGGTTATCTAGTTGTAAAGTTTTAATACTTGGAAGCAAACAGAAAACAGGCCATGGGAGACTAGCATAGCTAAGAATGGAAAACTGAATAATGCCGTACACCCGGCCGAGCAGTAACTCAGTTACTCGGGTGATGTAAAATCAGTAACATCTGCTACCAAAAGTGAGGTGCCAAGCATCACAGATGCACGATCTGTCACTGTACAAGGTGACACTCGTGTAGACAGGGGGCTGAGGCTGGACAGCCGCCCACAGCACGGGCACAGTTCTGGAAAAGTGGGCTTCCCTGGGTCCTCATCCCTGCTAGAAGACATTCAAGGTCAAGATCATGTATAGGGCCGGGGGTTTAGCTCAGTGATGCTGCCGCCTGCCTCTCAAGTGCAAGGACCCAAGTTCGATCCCAGTACCAAAAAAAAAAAAAAACACCACATATAAATTACATGTCCTGGCTCAAAGTCTCATACAGGCTGAGCATTGCTAACCCAAAAGCCCGAAACCTGAAACATCCCAAAGTCAAGGTTTTTTGAGTATCATGTTGGTGCTCAAAGATTACAGATTTTATAGGTTGCTCAACTGGTAATGTTTAGTCAATTCTTTCTTCTTTTTTATTTTTGGTACCAGGGATCAAACTCAGGACCTTGCACTTTCGAGGCAGGAGCTTAAATCCATGGCCCAATTAGTTCAATACTTTAAAAATTCCAAATTCTAAAATACTTCTGCTCCCAAACATTTCAGACAACAGGGAGATCTCTCTCTCTCTCCCTCCCCCACCCTGCATGGTGGTGGCAGTTGAACCTCGGGCCTTTACATTGCGCTACATCTTGGCCCTTATCACTTCGAGACAGTGTCTTGCTAAATCTTTAAATTACTTTAAATGGGCTCAAACTTTCAATCCTCCTGCCTCAGCCTCACAGAGTGTCACAGGCACTGCCATCACACCTCACTTCAGATAAGAGATCCTCGAATGGTACTACCAAAACACCACAAATCACAAAACCCTTAGCTCCAAGAAACTTTATTCAATATAATTTAATTTTTCATCTGGTGTTATTACCCCTGAAAAATATATGAGCTCATTAATAGAATGAAAAGAAAAAGGCCTGAACCTTAATAGTAACTTAAATATAAGCTGAGTGAAATTTGAATTTCCTGTTACCCATTAGTAATAACAGCACATGCTAACAATATTTCAATGTTTTTATTGCTCAATTTATTCCTAATTTATATTTTTTAATTTCAACAGTTCATTTTGTGTCTAACTTTATCTAATACCAGCATACAATGTAGTTTGGGAGGAACAAATAACAGAAATTATGTTAAAATATTTCCCAATTATTTATATAACATTCCACATAATTAAAAAGATGTAGTAACTTCCTTTCGTAACATCTCTTACCGAAACACAGCTTTAAGAACTTTTATCTCTTATAAATGATTTTGTTTACTAACAAACCACACTAGTACAACAAAACTTCAAATGAAGTTACTCCGTAATTTATATTCTACATTTGTGTAACATTTATAGAAGTTCACTTTTAAAGTTTCACTTAAATTCTTATTATTTGTAAATATATTATCATTTCCTAAGAGGATTTATGAAATGACACCATACTTTCTATAGTTTAAAATTAACTTATACATAGCATCAGATAAAAAATATAATCAAGGTAAGGAATTTTCTTATCTAAACTTTGAAGACAAGAAACAAACAAGATACCGGTATTTTCACAGGGGTATAATCAGGACATTCAAGCTATAAACTGATGATAATTAAGAGAATTACATCATTTTACCATTCTCACTTGTTTAATTTTATTCCTACTTTAAAAATACTTCTCTGGAGGGCAGGGACAAGGGGTAAAAATGAGAACCAAGACCTGTCACATAAAGGCACAAGATCCCAATAATGAATGTAACTATGCTGTATACCTAAAATGTACCAATAAACTCAATGAGGAAAAAATAAATAAATAAAAATACTTCTCTACTCTTGTCTGTAATTGATGTTCTACTTAAAACATCTTGAAATATTTGAAGACTAGTTAGTAGCAATACAAAAAAAAAAAAATTTAGTATACCAAGAGTGTATTTTGATTTACTGTATGCAACCTAACAAAAATTTGGTCATAAATTACCAGATATACAAATATGACTTAAGTAATAAAAGAAATTCAATTTCAAGAGAATAAGTTCATATCTTGAAGAAAAGTAAAAGTACATGAAGAATGTAAAGCCACGTCCACTTTCTATGCAGTAAGTGAAATGTAGTCTAATAAAGCAGATTTACGTGACTTTTAATATACATATCTTTGATCTTTAATATATATTTATATATAGACAGATCTACCAATTGTACACTATGGTTTATTTTAAAGGAAGGGGATAAAACAGGATGAGAGAAATCTTTATACTATACTTACATATTCACAAAGCAGAACATTTTATGTTTGAAATACTTTTTCATTCACAGTATCTTTGCCCAACTCATTTCTATTTTGGACCACCAGAATTACATTTTACTCATTTGTCTAGAACACTGAGAATAAGATGTAGTCTTCAGTTTTAAGCATAAATCAAACCAAAACTATTCCTGTCAGGCTTACAGTTATATAGAAACTACAAGAAAGTTTGGATGACAAAAGGTTCAACTAACCATGTAACTGTAATTTTCTTCTGATTTAGCCAAGCAGCAAGTCCATCACCTAACATTACACCATTATTTCATTGAAATCAGAGAAAATGATACATAATTTAAAAATCAACTGTTTTCAACTTTGATCAGATGGAGCACCAAAAGCACTACCTGTCAAAGTAACTGCACTTTTCCCACACAACTAGCATAATTTAGTCACCTGATATAAAATAGGAAAATATACTTGATTTTTATTTTTTAAAAAGCTGAATATATGATGTCCCTCAATCTTATATAATATAGAATGTTCCCAATAAATGCTGTCTATGTTAATACAGAAATGTCGCTGAGTTCCACAATCAGCTAATTCATTTGTCACCTAAATAAATCTAATAGCAACTTAATACAACACCCTTTCTATCCTGAAAATTCTAGTTAATAGAATGATAAAGCCTCTCAAAAATTTATCTGTATGATTTTTGTAGGCTGTTAAATCATAGTAACTACAGACTGCATCAAGGTGTAGTGAATTTAAGGAATAAAAAAATAAATTAAGTTAAAATAATTTTTAATAATTTAATTAATAATTAATTAATAATTGTTAATTTAATTAATAATTAATAATTTAATAATAATAATAATAATTAAGTTAACAATAATCTCAAAAACTCAATATGCCAGGAAGTACGAAAAAAGAGAACGCATTTTGTGTTATTTTTAATGACAAAAAGGCCAGAGGAACAGAAACCTGATATTTCACTTATACTGCATAACAAGCTAACCAAACTGGACATGGAAGATAAACTATAAAACAAATCATTTTACTTATTGTTTCTATGACTTTTTAAAATCCACTTTGTCTCTCAAATAAGGCTGAGAATAGTACACTGGGTAAAAATAGTAAGAAACAAACAAGAATAGTGCCAGAGTAACAGATATCCAAAACCAAATACCACGTAAAAAAACATCGAGTAACCATTTTTCAGGTTAGAGCAGCAGGAAAAAGTTACTTCTAAATCATTATCATTTTAGTGGTCTTTGTCAACTCTGCCACATTAACTTTGCAACATCATTCTTCATTTGTAAAATTCATGTCAAAAAAGGAAAAGGGCTGGGCTGGAGGAAGTCACTTAATTCATTCCAATAAATTACCTCTCCAGTTCTCATACACATGCCCATCAACACAAAATTGAGAAATAATACCTAAGACTAGGAGATTCTGTTTAAGTTATAAAGCAAATTAAAATGGAAAAATACAAGAAAATAGAACCAATGGGGTAGAAAAAGCTGCTTACTGAAAACTCTGTATCAAAAAAATAAAATTAATAAAAATAAAAATAGAAACAAAACTCTCCCTAGTACAAACTAGCCTGAGTGGTCTGATGGACAGTGATTGGGTCAAGTGTCACTGTGCTTCCTTCCATAAATGGATTTTCTTCATTCAGTTAAAGCGGCACATGAATGTAAGCTATGAAGGACAGGTACTATATCTTTACTGGACCCAAACAGTTACTATATATCCTATAAATAAAAATTATTTTGCTTTGATAACTGACTATGTGGGGACTCCATGTAAGCAACCACATGGTTGTTTGTTGTACAGTCCTGTGCAAATATTAAAAAAAATTTTTTTGCTATAAGGCTCTGACCCTACAGTTTTCACAGCAACATAACTACCATCCAGCATGTGCCATATTTTGCAAGCCTTCAAGTTCAACAATCCGAATTGTCGATTCATATTATGTCCCAATGCAGCACAAAATTATTTTAATTATATCATAAAATATACTTACGAAATGTTTTTTAAAAAGCATACATGCGCTAGAGATTATGTTGTTCCTCTTATCACATAAAAACAGAAGAACACAAATGAGAAGGTAACTACTTTAACCACATAAGCTTATAGTTATCATCAATTACTAAGAGGAGGACAGCCTAACCCCACAGAAGTATGAGGAGGCGTACATACCCTGCCCATCTCAAACTCCCGGCAGGCCATCACAATGATCTAGAGAGAGGGGAGGACAGAAGGAAGAATGTATCATTCCAACACAAGGGGATCTTAACCACAACACGAAACTCAGGTACTTCTACCCTGCAGAAAAGTATACTTGACTTGTCTAAAAAAGTAGTCTTACTATCAAAAGCATACTTTCTAAGCAAGGGCTAACTATACAGCAACAAGTTAGCTGATGCCAATTAATGAGACTTAGTTTGACTTTTGAAACTGTGTTAAAATGCTGTTTTTTTAGGATATTATCTAGTTAAATAATACTTTTTATTTAGTATTGATTACTCAAAATACACTTAGTAACACTGTCTAAAATTTAAATGCATTAAGTTTAACATCTTTAAACATAGAGATAACATCTTTAGAATTACTGTATTTTTAGACTCACTACACCTACTGCAATGTTCCCAACAGAGCAAGCAATAAGGGCTCCTTATTTCTTATTTTCCACATCCACACAACCAAAATCATCAGCAAGCATATGCGCTGGTCCCAAGAGTACAAGGTGGAGCAGGGTGGCTCTTTTCAGGATCCCAACTTACTTCTCTTGAGGCTTCCGAACCTCAGAGCACAGTGCTTCCCTTCATCCAGAAGAACAAGGCACTAAACTCCCCCCAGCTCTGAGGGCGTCTAACCCAGGCCCGGCTGGGGGCAGGGCAGTGAGCGGCACGCCCGGACTCTCACGCCTCATTCTCGGGAAAGGGACTCACTAAAGGGTCTATGCCTGGAAAAAGGTGAAGAATGTAACTGCACACGCTGTCAAGCATTTCACTGACCTGTGAAAACACTAATCGTTTCTGGTCTCTTTCAAGTTATTTGGTGGCTGTCTTTTATCAGCTACTAACTTAGGACAAGGTTTAAATTAACATCACACTCTCATCTTCATATAGTGAGCTAGTCTGTCAGAATTTAATGAGATATCTAAGAAATTAGTTTCATGTATTTTGGAAACGTTAGCAATGATTAAACAGCACTGTGGCTAACATGTCTTCTCCCTATTCAGGAAAACATCCTATGTCATTAAACAAAATTTCTCAAAGTATATTATGAAAAGTGAAGTACTTACCACAACATTGTATTCCCATATCATCCTCCAAAAATCGATTACTGTATTTGCCAAAGGTCCTTGGGTTGCCACATATGCTTTTGGCCCATAGACACCCTAAAATGGTTAAAAGTAAATTTCCATTTAGAACGATTACAAAAATATTTGATAGCTAAATTTTAACATTTCAAATTTTATCAGTAATAGTGTAGGACCTTAGACCCCCGACACCTGGAAATAGTGTTTTTACCTAAAGCATTTTAAAATAATTTTTCTTCATATTACATAAAAACATGGCAAAAATATCAATTCACTTCAGCTTTTGGTAACTTACCATTTTTTTGTGTTTATTAGACACATCATAAATTCCTATTTAAGGACACCTTCATACTAGTGAAAAATTATTACTTATCTAAGAATTAAAAACAAAAGTCCCAGGGGCCAGGGATTTAGCTCAGTGGTTCCCCTGCCTGCCTTGTAAGCACAAGGTCCCACATTTGATTTCCAGTACCACAAAAACTCCCCAAACCCCCCAAAACCAAAGCCCCAATACCTAGTCAACAAGGCTAAGAAGAGCAGAAATACAGTAGCAACGCTGATTCTAAATATATGGGAATCACTTAATACTTTCTTCTTAGCTACGTTCTTCCATGGCTACCTTTAATTATCTATCTATCCATCATCTTCAAGTTTACTGAACTATGAAGCTTTTAAATAACAAATCCAAGAATAGACCACACATGACTGCTGACTGAAATAAACACCACCGGTACAGAAACTGAGTCATACAATGAATCAGTGTCATTAAGTACAATGAAAAACTAGAGCTTTTAACATGTGTCCTTATAAAAGAATGTTGAGTGTTGACAACACCTAAAACAGCAAATTATCTATTTAGTAATTTTTGTTTAATCTATTAATTTTGGCTTTTGCTGCATTTATAATAGCAAATTACCTATTTAGTAATTTTTGTTTAATCTATTAATTTTGGCTTTTGCTGCATTTATAATAAACGACTTTACCTACAAAAATTTTTGCAATCATGACTATTCACTGACTTTAACACATACACTGCCCAACAATTTTGTCAACAAAAAACTTTAAAAGATGCTTAAATATCAAATTTAATTTGGAATAATACTACTATATAATTAGATTAAAAATCAAAAAACTTACAGAACAAACTAATGCATTTTATTTAGCTCAAGCAAATGCCACTTTTTGATGTCAATTTCTGTTGATAACCATATAATAACTACTTTGGTCAAAGAGTATCCAAAAAAAAAAAAATTTTTTTTTTTTTTTTGAGACAGGGTCTTACTATGTAGTTGAGACTGACCTGGAACTCACTATGTAGCCCAGACTGGTCTCAAACTCACAGCGATCCTCCTGCCTCAGCCTCCCAATGCTGGGATTACAGGTGTGTGCCATCACACCCGGCTCAAAAATATCTTTAAAAGAATGTATTTAAAACTGGGCTCAGGGCCTATCTTGCAAGCATAAGGACCCAGTTCAATCCCCACTACCAAAACAAAAACAAAAACAAAAAACAAAGCTGGGTACAGTAGTTTTTAATCCCAGTATTAGGGAGGCTGAGCCAGGAGGATCACCACAAGTTCAAGGCTAGCCTGATCTACACAGTGAGACTCTGTCTCAAAAACAAAGACTATATTTAAACTTGGATATGAGTTGTCACTTAAAATATAGTAGTAACAATTTCCAAAAGTCTATTATGTTCTATAATTTTAAATTGATATTACCAAGTAAATCCAACCTTAGTCATTTATCCCAAGAAACTATTCAAAAGAACAAACATATTTTCTCTGATAATTGTTTTAAGAAAAATGGAAACAAGCTGCATAGTTCAACAACAGTGTGTGACCACATACATGTGTGTCCCCAAATTGGCAGAATAATTCAGAAGATGACATTGTAAAGGCGTATCTACAGGCCTTCAATGTAAATGAAGAAACAAAATAGAAAACCGTCTTTACAATCAATAAGCAAAAACTGTTTACCTGTATGAATAAGAAGGCTGGAAGGAAAGAACACAAAAATATGTGAGGCAGTGATTTTCTTTTATTCCTTTTGCTGTTGATACCATGTTTGGGCATCTCAAATAGCAAAAAATACAACTTAAAAGTAAATATGTACCTTAATAAAATTTGCATTGATATAATCCGAATCTTGAGAAGGAGTCTTTAAAGTCAACTTAACTCTGCTGTGATCAACTACAAGGAAAAGAAAAAAACTGCATTAATTACACCTGGCTAGCACTCACGTACATACTAATGAAATATAAGGTTAAGAAGATAACCAGAACATTTTTTTTCTTGCAGTACGGGGGATTGAACACAGGGCCCTGTGTCTATCAGGTGTGTACCCCACCACTGGGCTTCAGCCGTTTCTGTTCTTGCTGAGCTGCCAGGCTGGCCTCAAACTTGTCATCTTCCTGCCTCAGTTCATGGGCTCGAACCAAGGACCTCACACACACCACACAAGCACTCTAACACGGAGCTACACTCCTGGCTTTATTTAGCCCTTACAGGGACAACTACAATGAATAACTTACTTTTCCTTGGTCCAAACTGTACACAGTACTGAGGTCCTGTTCTACTGATTAATTTATGTACTTTTGATGAAATCTTACTTAGAAATTTATAGGCAGAGACATACAAGAAAGACATACAGGCTAATAAAAATGACGCATCTCATGTTTCCAAGACAGAAAAAAAGTGTTTACATATCTATCAATGCTTTGTCCATTTATTGCAGTGCCACGAATCCCGACGAGAACTGTAGCTCCCAAATGATAGACTGGCTGCCTGCATGCCAGGCTGGCTATAAGCAGGCTGGGAAAAACTTAAAAAAAAAGTCTTCTAAGATGAAAAACTTAAGTATATACAACAGAACTGTGTAACGAATCCTTGTACATCTATTAACCAGCTTCAGTAATTAACATTTTAGCTAGTCTTTCATCGACTGCCAATTCAACAGGTGGAGATTGGGAAAGCAAATTAAAACAGTAAGGCTAGGGATTTAGCTCAGCGGTGCTGCCACCTGCCTTGCAAGTGCAAAGTCCTGAGTTCAATCCCCATACCCAAAAAACAAAAAGAGCAAATTAAAATAGTAAAAGATTTTTGGTATTCTATATTATACACTAAGTTTGATTCAGTAAATTCTTATTTAATACTCCCTATTTACACTCTAAATGACAAGCAAATATAGTGCCATGGCCTTATACTATACACAGTGTACTGCTGAGAATTCCCAAAACATTAATACTTTGCTCAGATAACATAAACATATAAATGTTAACGATTTCACTGGTGCTCTTAAGTATAAAAAAATCTAAATATCTAAGAAATAAAAACAATGCCCCTTCCTGTAATTTTGCTGACTACCTCTATACTCTCTCAAGAGTCCAAATCCAAAAGATGAAATCTATACTGGCTACGTAAGTCTCTTTAAAGCAGCATCCTCCTCTGTCCTGAGCAAACACTAACAACTGGGGGCAACAAAAGAAAATATATAAATCCAATCACTTCCAAGGAAACAGATCTATTAACTAAACCCTAACTCCGAGAAATAAAAGTGGAATAGGCAGAGTACCCAGGCCTGTCACTTCTAAAGCACAGCTCAGCTTTGGCAGAAAAGAGGTGGGTGGTCTCTAGTCCTAGGAGAGCGAAGAACTTGCCACAATTTCCTGGCCTCTGTAGCCAGGACACTTCAAGAATTCTTACAAATCAGTAAGACTTTTCCTTTTTTGATGTGCTCCTGGGGACTGAACCCAGAGGTGCATTCCCTAGTCCTTTTTTATTTTGAGATGGGGCCTTGCTAAATAAATTGCCCAGGCTGGCCTCCAACTCATGAGACTCCAGCCTCAACCTCCCACGTAGCTGGGCTCACAGGTGAGCCACTGTCTAGCCTGCCATTCAGTGAATGTTTTTAATGGATAAATGATTTAAGTAGACTTCACCAAAGAAATACAAAAGACTTAATAGCACAAGAAAAGATGCAAATGAGGCTATGAGAACCTCAAAATAACTATAATCAAAACTTCCAAAGCTAGCATACTGGCACCCATCTAGTAGTCCTGGCTCTTCAAGAGGTTGATGCATGAGGAACACTGAGGCAGGAGCTCAAGACCAGTCTGGGTGACACACTGAGAAGCACTGGAGAGGGTTCTGATGGGGATATGAAAAAGCCCGGAGCCCTCACACATCACTGCTGAAGACATAAAATGGAACAGCCACTACGAAACACAGTTCAGCAGCTTCTAAAGAACCAACAATTCCATTCCCAGTATATCCAAGATAAATAAAACCTCACATACACACACAGGCTTACATGGAAATACTTACAGAAGTACTGTTCATAAAGTTTATCAACTGGTGAATGGATAAAAAACTGTGGTATATCCATAGTGAAATATTCCTCCACAAAAAGGAATGAACTGCTACATTCAACACAAATCAACCTCCAAAACATGCTAAGTGAAAGAAGTCAGACCATATATTATATGATTGTGCCTGTATTAAATTTCAGAAAAGAACAATCTGCAGAAACAGCAAATGTAAACAGCAGATTAGCAAATGCTGGTACTGAAGACGACAGATCTTTTGAAAGTTCTGAAATGTCCTGAAGCTGGATCATGCTCACTGTTTTACAACTCTATAAATTTATTAAAAAAAAAAAAGTTGTGGAATTGTACATTCAAAATGGGTAAATCAGATTTCAAAGCTGTTTAAAAAAATTTGTGCAAACAATGGACATGTTAAACACTCAAAGGAAACTGATAAATTATTTCCAACAGTAAGTTCATATGTATCTGTAAATGCAATTACTTTCAGTGTGATTTTCCAAAGCAAAATAAGTTTAATGGAAATCAACCTATCAAATCTTAAATTTCTAAAGGAAAAAAAAAAGGCTGTTATTTTGACTCTTGCACAGTAATTAAGAGCTCAGGCTCTAGGACCTGGGGCACCAGCCTCAGCTGGCTGATGGTTACCACAGCCTCCGCAGCCAACGTGGGAGGGCTGCCACGCTACACCTGGGCTCTGCCCGCACTCCAAACTCCAGATAAGACAACCACACCGTCTGCACACACTGCTGAATGTCATCCTCTCTCAGAATCACTGTTTTGTGTATCAAATGCCTTCACTTAAACTCTCATTCCAAACTATCAACTTCATGGCCAGCCATTTAATCTCTGCATCTCAATTTCCCCCTATGAAACAGCACATAGTACCTACTTCATAGTTGTTGTGATGATTACCATAAAAATCCACTTGTCCCAGAAATCAGTACACAGTATGAATCAGTGCTTTTATTTTTCAGGAGCCAGCTTAACAGCACATCACTAACCTTCCTCTTTATCCAAAACTGTTCTCCCTTTTATTCCCAACATTCTCCATGTCCCTGGCTCCTGCTGTATTATTCTCAACAGCAGTAGTCACCACCTAACAGATGGTGTGTTAATTTGTATTCACTGTCATCACCAAGACTAGAACATACACTGCACAAGGGCAGGGATTTTTGCCAGTTGTTTCTGCACATACTACACACAAAAAACTTTTCTGTGCAAGTTAATAAAAATTAACAAAGCAACATATAAAAACAAAAACCTGGAGCTACTTAAGATTTGCCTAAATGACAAGAAAATAAGTGTACTATCTGAGCACATGCATTAATTTGGGAGAACACCTCAAGACGATCTTCCTTAATGGAGGCCCCCAGAAACCCACGGCGACCCCTAACAAGGGGATCGGTCCTGTGGCCTAAATGCTCATGTCCTCCTGCCCCTTCGCTGAAGCCCAAGCCGAGACAGCAGTACTGAGAGGTGAGACTGGAGATGACCTGGCCACCAGGGGCGCACTTGGGCAGAGGCCCTCACTGGGCAGAGGCGTCGCCCACTAGTGCCCTGACCTTGCACTTCCAGGCTGTAGCACTGCAAGAAACAGCTCTGTCACTGACAAGCCTCTCAGTCCACAGTACTTTTGTTTCAGCAGCCTGACGGACTAAAACATAAAACCAGTAAGGGAAGTGGGAGATGTTTTGCCAAAGCTTAATGAGTGCAGTTACCATCTTCACCCTAAAGGTTACCACTATTGTCTCCACTTCACAGACGAGAAACCCAGAGAAGCTGAGACCAACGTCTTACAGGTAACAAGGATCTGAACTTCCAGAGGTACAGCTCTTTATTGTCACCCTATGCTTCTACTTATTAATGCTTTAACATATTCCACAGCTGGGAAATGAAGGGTCAGCCAGGTGGTACCTGTATGCGATTCCAGCTACTCCGGAAGCTGAGGCAGGAGCATCTCAAGTGTGAGGCCAGCCTACGCAATTTAACAAGACCCTGTTTCAAAGTTTAAAAAGGGCTGGGGATGTAGCTCAGTGGTAGCACACCAGCTTAGCATGAGCCAGACACTGCATTCAATTCGCAGCACTGCAGAAAAAACAGGGAGATGAAGATAATCAAATCAGTGAGGAACAGGGAGGAGATGATATGAAAGAGATCACAGGAGAAGAAAGATTTCACAGGGACTGGGCAATGGTCTCAAAATACTTAACAGAAAAGAATAAACGCTAAAAAAAGACCCTGAATCTGGCAACTGAAAAAGCCCCTTGGAACTCTATCAAGGCTGTTTTCTAAGCACTTGCTCTTGGGGCATCTCAGGGTCCTTTTTCATGCATAGTTAATTAAGGATCTTACTACAAACAGGTAACAGATAAACCAGTATTTTGAGCATTTTACAAAAATCTTAGTAAGATCAGCTTCTCTATGAATAGAGTCTACAGAAGATACTTTCACTTGGAATTTTGGTGATTAAAACAATTTATCATTAGAGAAATTATGATGCCTAAGAAGAAAATATACACCAACAAAAACTACTATGGAAAGGAAAAACAAGAAACAAGTTGCAAATTACTATGTTGTAGTGTACCTTGAAAAAGAGGTTAATTACTACCTCCTTAACAAACTCAGGAAGGATAAAGGGAGTTGGTTACAGAAGGCTAATTAGCATTTCTATTTGTTCTATCAAGGGCATTTAAAACTTACATGGCAGTATGTCCTTATATCTGTTCTTTTTAACATTTTCTTCTTTTTCTCCAGTGGCTGTGGGATATATCTTTTCTGTCCTATATTTGGTAGACAATCTTCTTAATCGCTTAAAATACAAGAAAATAAAATTCACATTTAGAGAAACATTGTTATGTTTAAAATGTTAATGATTCTCAAACAGCTCCTCACTAAATCTGCTGACCCAATTCCTCCTAATTTGCGTTTTGCTCTTAGCTGTTATTTTTCCCAGCTCCTTAATCATTAACCCAAAAGATAATTTTTTTAGCATAAATGCAAACAGAAGATTAATACTTATTCCAAACAAGTGACAATGAAGAATACAAGAACCTTTATTTAAAGATATAATAAGCTGAGCTGGGATATTTAGCTCACTCTTTAATGTAGGCAGGTAACTTGTTTTAACTTAGGGTCTCAATAACCTAACCACGCTTAAATGTTATGTCTGAAAGAATTATGCACAGGTGTCTTTATTTCTTCTCTCAATAAACCATGAACACCCGGGACAGGCTCTCTCCATGGCATAAGCTAATAATTACTTATAAGACACTGAAAAACAAGGTTCTTTCTCATATTGGATTGGAAATGTCCAACAAAGACCAATTCTGCTTATTCACTGCATTACAGAAGTGGTTTGTGGGCTAGTGACAAATTCTTACCACATATGGCATTAGGGATGTTCTTTGGGCTGGAATATTTCAGTGTGTCAGTAATACACTTCCTGCTTTCAGAAGAACTGAAAGTTGGCATTGTGAATTGTTTAAATTCTACTCAACTACATTGCTAAAATTTAATTTCAAAGGAGCCTACTTTCTTTCAGGCTTAAAGACATACTGGAAGCATTTTGGCTCTTCTATTCAACAAATTGTTAAATACAAACACGGAAAGAAAGAGGTCTTCCCACCATTTTATGTTTTGCTTGTGATGCTGATATTTAAGCAACTAAAAACGTATTTTTAAAATCAGAATTGCAATACAAGAATCTTAACTATTTTATGATGTACTTTAACATGAAGCACTTGAAATAATTTTTATAAAGATTTATACAGAATGGTTAACTTTTTGATTACTAAATTTTATCATTATAATCTTGGAGATCTAAAAAAGGAATATACAATTTCTTTTCTCTTTCAGATAAAAAAGGCTTAACAGAATTTTACTCTGCAAGGCACAATGCCAAAGTAAAATTCCTATATGTACAATCCTTTTTCCTGTGGTCATAAAGCTCTCAAAATATATATAGGTGTTGGGGTGGGGGCAGGGGTTGTATCCAAAAGTAAAGCTGTTGGTGAGGATGTGTGAACTTCTATACAATACTAATGAAATAGAACATTCACCCAGGGCCAGGGATTTAGCTCAGTGGTTCGGTGGCCTGCCTTGCAAGCACAAGGACCTGCAAGCACAAGGACCCGAGTTCAATCCCCGGTACCAAACAAACAAACAAACAAAAAACAAAGAACATTCACCCAACCCTTCACAAGGGAAATGTAACAATTACAAGTGCACACAACCTCTCAGCCCAGGAACTACGTGTACAAATCTATCCTCCAGATGAAGTGGGCACCCGTGTGAAATGGTGCATGCACAAGGTTATTTACTGCCACAATGTTTATAACAGCCAAAGATTGCAAACAATTAAATAAATTCTCTTATTACAGGACTGGCTAAAAAGACTTGATTCATTCATATAGTCAAATACAATACTGTGGGAAAACAAAAAAGGAAGCTGTATACAGCAATACAGCAAAACCTTAAAAATACATTAAGGGAAAAAGGTAGAGAAATACGCTGTATGTAATATCCTACTACTGGTGTACACTTGTACATGTGCATGAAGCAACTCTGAATATTAGGGAAAGTAATTAGAAATGGGCAGCTGTGAGAAATAGGAAGGACTTATTATTCTACGTTTTTCAAACCTCAATGACTTTATAATGAACCTTGAAACACTTTTGTGTCATGAGTATTTATTTGAATTTTTATTTATCCCGTTTTGTAAAAGCCTAGAACACCATGGAATGCTTTATTATACATTCAAGTTTTAAAATGAATCATTGTTATTGCAGAATAAACAAACAAAATACAACTACCACCTTCTGAGTTTTGCTGTAACATCAAAGATCACAACCCAGTCATCCGCAGAGCCATGAAAAGGGGCCTTTGGGCCAGTGGCTCCTCTGAGTAAAGCCAGCAGTGAGGCCTAGACCCAGTTGAGAGTGCTGCCATCCTCCAGGCTCAATGCAGAAGATGTAAAATGCACAGCAACACTCTTCTCATTTATTATTTTTGCTTTAGAAAAGTTATTTTAATAAAAATGTTTCTTTAAAAATTTAAGCCAGGGCCGGGGATTTAGCTCAGTGGTTCCTCCGCCTGCCTTGCAAGTACAAGGACCCGAGTTTGATCCCCTGTACCAAAAAAAAAAAAAAAAAATCAAAGCCAGGTGTAGTGGTGCATACCTGTAATCCCAGCACTCAGGAGGCTGAGGCAGGAGGATCACCATGAGTTCCAGGCCAGCCTGAACTACATAGCTAGACCTTGTCTCAAATAAATGAATGAATGATGTTCTATGCAAATAAATGCCCACCTAAATAGTATACTTACCTAAATGTCATACTGTACCTCATACACATATATAATTACTGTTTCAATTTAAATATAAACATATTAACGTACTCAGAAACTTTCAGACCCATCAGAGATACAAAACTTTATTTTGTACTTTAAAAACAACAACAGCAGGAAAATCCTACCCAACTGTACTAAAAAGCTATCTTCAAGTAGAGACTTATTCCTTAACCTCAACCCCAAAAGTCAGCTTTACATTTCTGGGCCTGCTACTTCCGGTCACATGACAAATGAACAGTAGTTCCTCAGTGTCACCCTCTCTGTAAGATGTAAACAGTCCCTGTGCACTCGGCAAAGAGCATTGTGTATGCAATAGCTTGATCAAGGTTGACTAATGTTAGAATCAATTACTGAACATCTTTAGCTGTCTTTTGTTAGTTCTATTTTCATCCATTCATTCATAACCTTCCCTTATTCAAAGATCAAGAAGAGCCACATACAGCACTCTGGGCTAATCTATCTGCCCGGAACTAACATCTGGTGGGCCAGTCTGCGCACCAAACTTAGCTGGTTTCAGAGTCAGCTGGAGGCGAGACTGCTGGGGCCCACCCCTAGTTTCTGATTTAGTAGGTCTGGGGAAACACCTGAAAATCTGCATTTTTAGTTATGTTCACAGGTGCCATGGCTGCTGTTATCTGTCCGGTTCTGAGAACCACTGTATAAGGTGTCTAGACTCCTAGCACTGACCGATCATATGTCTTAGGTTCCTCTAAACTTTCTGTATAGGCTGGCAGCACCAAATTATTCTGAAAGGAGAGCTTCACGCACAGCAGAGGAAATCAGAAGGAAGAAACAACTTAAAGAATGGGAAAAGGTTTTTGCCAGCTACTCCTCAGACAAAAGACTAATATCCAGAATATATAAAGAACTAAAAATATAATTAAGACACCCTAGAATTTAAAGATCCAATGAAAAAATGGGCATCTGAAATGAAGATACTTCTGAGATTAAGCAATACAAATAGCCAATAAATAGATGAAGAAAATGCTCAACACTGCTGGCCATTAGAGAAACACAAATTAAAAAAATACCAAAGCCGGGCATGGTGGTGCATGCCTGTAATCCCAGCACTTGGGAGGCTGAGGCAGGAGGATCGCTGTGAGTTTGAGACCAGCCTGGGCTACATAGTGAGTTCCAGGTCAGTCTCAACTACATAGTGAGACCCTCTCTCAAAAACAAAACAAAACAAAAACAAAAAAATACCGAGATTCCAGTTCACTCCAGGAAGAGTGGTTACCATCAAGAAATCAACCAAGTGCTGGACATAGTGGTACACACCTGTATTCCTAGTACTTGAGAAGCTGAGGCAGGAGGACCACCACAAGTTTGAGGCCTGCCTAGGCTACATATTCAGTTCAAGGACAGCTAGAACTATAGTGAGGCCCTGTCTCAAAAAACTAAACAAAACACAACAACAACAAAAAAAACCAAATCAAGTGGTAACAAATGCTGGAGAGAGGCCATGGGGAGGAAAGGAACTCTTCTCCATTGTCAGTGAAGTGTAAAGTGACACAACCACTATGGAAATCTGTATGGAAAATCCTCAAAAAACTAAAGAAATTCCATTTGACCCAACCATTCCCCTTCTAGATATCTTCCCCAAAGGACTAAAGACAGCATACCACTGTGATGTATGCATACCCACGTTTATAGCAGTGTAATTCAAAACAGCTAAATCTTGTTATTAACAGATGAATGGATTAAAATGTAGGATTTATATAGAATGGAGTACTACTCTGCCATAAAGGATATATTTGAGTCATCTGTACGAAAATGGATACACCTTGAGACCCTAATGTGAAGTAACTCACACAAGCTTAAATGAAACATAAACATATAAGAGCAAAGAAGGTATTGTAATGCAGCGTCAACAAGTGTATCTTGAGTTAGTGTCATTATCTTACGTTTTAAACGTTCTTTGACCTATTAGTCTGCTTTTCAATCTGTATGTATGATAATTATGAGGTCTTACAAGATAAATTAATCTGATGATGGAAAAACAAGGGCGTAGAAGAGGGGGAAGGGAAGTAAACTGTGTTATGTACATGTACCAATTCCCTACAGTTTAAAAAAGTATGAAAAGAAAAAAGTGCTACAAGATTTTTTCACAGGAAACTGGAGAATTAGGGACGAATAAAGAAAAATATAATTATCAAAGGTAAAGAGTGGTGAGATCACAAATGAGCAACCAGCGAAAGCATAAAGCACAGGGTGCTGAACAACCAAAGGACAATAAATAAAAGAATTAAAGGTCCTGAGGAATGGCAGACAGGAAAACTAAAGCTCTCCTCTGAACTGCTTTCCCATCACATACATGTACGGCACCAGAAAAACCAGCCCAACACTGCATGCACGACAGCGCCTCCGTCAGCAGTAACCTGCAAAAGCACCGTGGAAAGCTGCTCTCCACTGTTCTACCTGGGAAAGGCTC